CTGGAGAGATGACTGAGCACTGGCTGCTCTTCCAGAGGACCCAAGTTCAATTCTCAGCACCCTCATGACAGCTCACAGCTGTCTGTAACTCCAGTCCTAGGGGATCTGACACCCTCACACAGGCATACATGTAGGCAAAACACCAATGCATATAAAATAAAAAATGAAGAAAAGCAAAAGAATCATGTGTCTCTTGGGCACTGAGACAGGTGGATCTTGGTTCAGTCTGGCCAACAGTTAGTCCCTGTCTCAGGGGGATAAAAAGGTGGGATGGTCCTAAGAATGTTTTGTCTAGAGTTGGAAGAATGGCTCAAAGATTAAGAGCTGGTACCACTCTTGGTAAGAACTTACTTGTTCCAGCTCCAAGGGGGATCTGATGCCTCTGGCCTTGGGCAAGAGCATTCATGAGGGCATACACTAGGACACACACATAATTAAAGTAGAGCTTTAAGGGATGTATGAGAGAGGGAGAAAAGAATGTTTTTTCCTAATCCATCAGGTTGGGACCACAGCTGGTTATGAATGAGTTAGTGCACCTGTGTGCTAAGTTTTGGGACCCTTGGTGTGTTTGTTTGATATAGCACATTCCCACCCAGACTGGCTGCATTACAAGGGCTCAGTAGCCAGATGTAGCCGGTGGGGCTGGTCTTGGGCAGTCAGGACAGGCCATCGACTCTTCCATCTCCCCCTCAGGGGGGTGGATGGATGGTCACCCTGTCCAGTGGGGCAGCATTTGGCCTCAGGCACTCATCTGACCGTGCGCTCTGGCTGCGGTGACCGGACTGCTCCGTCTGAGGTAGGAGTTGGAAGCCCGAGGCTGGGGCCTAATGGAGAAGAAACCCCTTGGGACCCAAGTCTGGCCTGAGGAGGCGACCCGGTGGCAGCAGTGGGTGTGGGATGAGGTGGCGGAGAGCCGAGGGATCAGAAGCCCACAGGCCTTCATTGTGCGCCTGTCACACTTCCTCTGGCTTTATTGCTTTTGTCCAACACCCTATTGTCTGGTTTCCTTTTGTCCCTGCTCTCAGCACCGCTGCCTTTTATTTCCCAGCCAGCCTGGTTGTTTTCATTTCTTTTGTCTGAAGTTCCTGAGAGGAAGGTTTTATTTTCAGCGGTTTGATTAATTCACAGCTTGAGCCCGGGTTTGTTTGTTATGTAATTGCTGCCCTCAGCTCCAGGATAATGCCCCCGCCCCCACTCCTGCCCCCTGCGGGGCCCTGCTCCCCGCCCCTCCCCAGCCGGATGGGTTGAGCTGCCTGCTTTCTGCAGGTTCTCCAGGCAGCCCCTCAGACCCCTGGGCCGAGCTGGGCCGGGGTCTGTTTTCTCTTCGTCCAGGTGAGATGGGACCCAACTAGGGTCAGCTAGCCTTGTCTTGCCCTGTCCTATCCAGGGTTCCTGAGGCACGTAGCACTCAGAAAGTGGGTGGGGGAGTCTGCTGCCATCTGATATGTTGGATATAATCAAGTCAAATACATGTATATATCTTAATCGATTATAATATTGCTGTAGCTGTTCACAAAACACCTGTGTATTCTGTTGTATACAAAGCTGTAACATTGTATGGCTCAGTACACAGTACCAGAGTAGTTGGTGTAATCTATAGGCTATAGTATACCCTGTGCAGAACTGATAAGGTATACAAATGCACTAGTTTCCTTATTTTCAGCCTCACTTAACAGGGTTTCAGGTGCCCACCGTGATCTGAAAGTATTAGATGGAAAACCTTAGAAGTAAATAATTCATAACGTTTTTGTTTTGCTTTAGACTTATTTATTGTGTGTGTGAGGAAGAAATGGCGTGAATTGAATGGAAGTCAGATGACAATTCTGGAGTGGTTCTTGCCTTCTATGTTTATGTGGGTCCCAGGGATGGAACTCAGATATCCAGGCTTGCATTGTTGGGTAGCGAGCGCCTTTACCTTGCTGGGGCATCTTGCTGGCCTTGTTTTGGGTTTTAGACGCAGGGCCTATTGGGCCTGGGCTGTCCCTTAACTTGCTGTGTAGCCAAGGATGACCTGGAATTTGTGACCTTACTGCCTCACCTCCAGAGTTCTGGGGTCTCAGGCGTGTACCACCACGCCTAGTGAAATATGGTGTTGGGGATGGAATCCAAAGCTTCCTGCATGCTAGGCAAACACTCTACCGCTGAGTTACGTTCCGTCCCTGTGTGGTTTTTTTTTTTAATAGCATATCATTCTCAGTCGCATTAATGGAATCTTGAAGTTTCTGGGTTGTGACCGTCCTTTGTCCAGTGTGTCCACACAATATGTGGGTCGCTTGGTGGCATCTCCTTCAATCAGCCGTTGTGACTGGTGCTAGGGCGGTATTTGTATTCAGGCTACTCCTACACAGTGGCCCCGACCTGCTGGAGTCAAAGTGCTTGATTGGGAAGGTGAAAGTTGAAGCTGGAGAGAAGGCTCATCAGTTAGAGCACTTGACCCTCTTCCAGAAGACCCAAGTTCAGTTCTCAGCACCCACATGGTTACTTAGAACAACCTTCAGCGCCACTAAAGGAGATCTGATGCCTTCTCTGGCCTCCGTGGGCCCCTGCACATGCGCGTGCACAAACATTCACTCAGGCACATGCACGTGCGCACACAAAACAATAAAATATAAAGTGAAAGTTGTCAATAGAGGGGAAAAATAGTCTGCTAAAGTTGACTGTGGAATTATGAAGAAAGGAAAAGGACTGTGTATCATTTTTGTTGCAACTCAAACTGCAAATGCAACAGCTTTGGTCTGGGACCATGGCTTGCTTATGTCGGGGAGTGCTGTGGCTGCAGGAACCCATGGGGGGGTCTGCCCTGTAAGATGGCACTAGTCTATCGAACTGCCTCTTTTGTTGAAGGGTCTGTTGCTGCATCTGATAATTGCTCTTTAATTCCTGAGTCTAAGTCTGTATTTTTTTTTAGCGTTGCAGCTTCTGGGAAGGCAAGTGTCTTTTTACTGTGTCACCCTGTGCAGGAGGGCACAGGAATACCAGTCAACTGTAGTAAACTCACTTTCCCAATGACACTACATTCTTAATCCGTTTGTGAAGACAGGGGGCTCCTGTCCTAACCACCTCTAGTGAGGCCCTACCTCCCAGCACTTCTGCAGGAGGCCAGACCCTTCTGTGCCACTGGAGCCCGGTGCGGATCTCTGAGTGCTTACCCGGGGACTGGAGAAGGTGGACACTGCTTCTTTGACCTTGCCTAATGCGACCCTGGACACTGCTCTCCAGGGTCCTGCAGATGCTCACCCTCTGACACTAGGTAGTGTGGTAGGAGAGAAGGCAGCGTCACAAGAGAGTCTACCAAGCATATTGCAGGTGGCACAGGCCTGTGATCTCAGCACTTGAGTTCAGAGCTATCCTTAGCTACATAGCAAATTCAGTACTAGCCTGGGCTATCTGGAATCCTGTCTTGAAAAAAAAAACTGAGAATAACAAGGGTTCGGGGACTGGCAAGATGACTTAGTGGTTAAGAGCACTTGCTGTTCTTGCAGAAGACCTGGATTCAGTTCCCAGCACCCACATGGTGCCTCACAACCATCTGTAACTCCAGTTTCAGGAGATCCAACACCCTCTTCTGGTCTCTGAAGGAATCCAGGCATAAATGTGGTACACATATATACACAGGCAAAATACCCATATACATAAAATTATTATTTAAAAATCATTTGTGGGGGAAAATACAGCCAAGGGGCAGGAGAGATGACTTAGCAGTAAGAGTGCTTACTGCTCTGCAGGGACGGAGTTTGGTTCCCAGCACCCATATCTGGTGGCTCACTACCACCAGTAACTCCTCTGGCTTCAGGAAATCATGTGACCTCTCCTGGCACTCATATGCACATATCCACTCACATATACCTAAGAATAAATCTTTGTTTTGTTTTTTAATCCTCACAAAATCCCCAAACCTGGCAGTACAGGTCTCAGTGCCAGCAGGGGCAGAATCTACCAGGGACTCTAACTAGAGCAGAACATATTTCTTGAATGCCATCCGTCTATATTTTACAACCTGCATTAGATATGTGTAAATATAAGAAACATTTCACTTTGACTTGTCCCTGTAATGAGAAGAGTAAGGGGTTGGCTGTAGCTTGGTGGTACAGCAGAAGCTTAGCTTGTGTGGGGTCCTGGATTTGATCCTTGGGTCCTCTATAAAGAATAGATATCTTGTCCTGGGGAGTTGGTTCTTGCTTCCTTTTGGTCAAGTTGGGAACCAAGGCAAACTAGCCTTGTGTGAGGGCTCCTGCCAATTCTAGCCATTGGACTGGAAATTCAAATCTAGGCTCTTTTTGTGGGTGTGAGGGGGAGAACGGGGTCTCACTATGTAGCTCTGGCTGTCTTAGAACTTGCTCTGTAGACCAGGCTGGCCTCAAACTCAAAGAGATCTGCCTGCCCTACCTTCTGAGTCCTGGGATTATAGGTGTAATCCACTATTCATGGCCTTCAAATTCAGGCTCTTAGAATTCTGACCCTTGCTTTTAAGTCTTATTAACTAGTTCCAGTACATATGTTTACTCACATACAGTTCTCAGCTATCTTGGGCTCTCTGACTTCCTTGGGTGAGCCCATCAGCTCACTAGACCCAGCATGGCAAGAAACAGGTTGTGTTCACTTCGCATGTGCAAGGCCCTGGCACTGCAAAAGAAAAAAGGAGGGCCGGGAGGCAGAGGCAGGCGGATCTCTGTGAGTTCGAGGCCAGCCTGGTCTACAGAGCGAGTTCCAGGACAGCCTCCAAAGCTACAGAGAAACCCTGTCTCGAGAAAACAAACAAACAAACAAAAAAAAAAAAAAAAAAAAGGAGGGAGGAGGGAGTGATGGATTTTAAAAATCAAACAGTAAGAAAGCAGGCTCCAAAGCAGGCTTCTGTTTTACACATATGCGTCTCTGAGGGGTGCCAGGAGGTGCTTGGGTTGGGGACACGAGGGATGGAGGCACCTTCTGGGGGGCAGGGTGAGTTTACAACTGGGCCGTGGGCCTCATTCACTCTGTGCCCTCTGTCCCTTCTCCTGCAGGATGTCCATGCGGAGCCCTGTCTCTGTGCAGCTGGCCCCTGACAGTGCTAGCACCATGGTGAACTGCACCATCAAATCTGAAGAGAAGAAGGAGCCTCACCACGAGGCCCCCCAGGACACGGCCACCGCAGTGGAGACGCAGCCTGAAGACCCAGCCCTGGCACTGCAGGATGCTGCCAGCTCACACGCTCCAGCGCAGGTGTCTAGCTCTTTCTAGGGACCCTCGGGCATTGTCCCCACCCTGCCTTTGCGGCTTTTCCACCAGGCCCGCACACTTTTGTCTAGCTTGTGTGCAGAAATGGTCTCTGCAAGGGGCAAGGGCAAGCTGGGGCCCAGGTGAGCCCTAGGTGAGCAGAGGGGAGGAGCCACCATGATCAGGACTAGAAGCTGGGTCACCTGTCAGAGCAAGGCAGGCGCTGTCTCCTTCCATCCCCACCTGAGTGGCTGTTTCAGCCTATAATTTTCTTAAGACAAGGGGGGAGCTGGGGTTGGAGAGATGACTCGGTGGGTAAAGTGCTTGCTGTCCAATCGAGAGGATGGAAGTTTGGATTCCCAGAACCCTTGTAAAAACCAAGCAAGTGTGGCAACTGGCTGAGACTGGGAGTCTCGCTGGGTTCAGTGAGAGACCTGCCACAGTAAATAAAGTGGCAGGTGCTTGTCAAAGTTGGGCCTACACACACCATGCACGTGCGCACACACACACGTGCCCACACTCACATGTGGACCACGCATCCACAGAGGAACGAGAACTGAAATATATATGATAGAGATTCTGCAGGTCTTAAACTTCTGTTTCCATAGGGGACATTTAATTGGTGACTCTAAGGAGGAACTCAATTCGGAAGAGTGGGGGTGGCCAGGGATTACATCTTGGAGAAGTGGTCCTTAGCCAGCAGGAGGCCTGGGTTAGATGAGACAAGGGATGCTGTTGCTGCCGCTGCTTCCTCCTCCTCCTCCTCTTGTCTTTTGGGACAGGGTCTCTATCCCATCAGGCTGGCTATGAACTCACAGAAATCTGTGTGTCTCTACCTCTTGAGTTCCGTGTACCACCGTGCCAGGTTGAACACTTCTTTTTGAAAGAAGTGTTTCTTTTCATTTATTCAATCATTGATCCGTTCATTTACTTACATTTTTCAGGTTTATTTATGTGTATGAGGATTTTTTTTGTCTGAATGTGTGTATTATGTGAGTGGCTGCTGCCACAGGGGTCAGAGGAGGGTGTTACATCCCTTGGAACTGGAGTGGTTGTGATCACCATGTTCGTGCTAGGAACTGAACCTGGGTTTTCTGCAAGAGCAACAAATGCTCCTAATTGCTGAGCTATCTCTTCAGCCCCTATTTTTGTTTAAAAGTGTGTGTGTGTCTGTTTCTGTTTGTTCAGGGGTATGTGCAGTTGCCCTCAGAGGCCAGAAGAGGGTATTGGATGTAATTGGAAGTTTCTTTGAGCTGCCAACAGCTCCCAAATAAAGACACAGGACTTATTAGTTATGAAAGCTCACCTTAATTTAGGCTTATCCCACTACTAGCTCTTTTAACTTAATTTCTTTCTGGTTAATTTCTTTCTTTCTTTTTGGTTTTTTAAGACAGGGTTTCTCTGTATTGCTTTGGAGGTTGTCCTGGAACTCACTCTGTAGACCAGACTGGCCTCGAACTCACAGAGATTCACCTGACTCTGCCTCCCAAGTACTGGGGTTAAAGGCGTGCACCACCAACGCCCAGTCTCATCTAGGTTTTAACTCAGGGCTTTTTACCTTTCTTTCATTCTGTACGTCCTACTTTCCTGCTTTCTCTGTGTCTGTCTGGCCGGCCCCTGGTGTCTCCTTTTTTTTCTTTTCTTTCTCCCTCAAGCCTAAATTTTTCCTCCTACTTATTCTTCCTGCCTGGAAGTTCTGCCTACACCATCTCCCTCAATATTGGCTGTTCAGCATTTTATTAGGCCACTCAGGTGCCTTAGGTAGGCAAGGTAGAACATCGACACATCTTTATGTAGTTAAACAAATGCAACACATCTTTGCATAGTTAAACAAATATCCCACAAGAGTTGGATCCTCTGGAGCTGCATGGGGGTGCTAGGAACTGAACTCTGGTCCTCTGTAAGAGCTCTCGACTGCTGAGGCATTGCTTCTGCCTCAGGGATCATTTTAGGGAGCCCACAGTAGGTTCCTGTAATCAAGTAGCCTGGCTGGGAAGCACATGGGTTTGTAGTGGTGACTGGCAGAGGGTGAGCTCTGTATTAGTTACGTTTCTAGTGCTGGGACAAAATGTCTTATGAAGCAACCTAAAGAAGGGCCTGTTTTGGCTCACAGTTTGGGGTTGCACATGGTGGAGAAGGTATGGTGGCCAGGAATTTGAGGCAGCTGGCCATGTCGCATCTGTAGTCTGGAAGTGGGGAGAGTCCAAGACCCTCCATTTGGGGTAGGGTTTCTTTCTCAGGTAATCCTTCCTGGAAGCATCCTCATAGACAAACCTACAGGTGTGTTTCCATGGTGATTCCAAAACCATCGTCAGCCCCTCCTGATGTATCGGGCCCCTCGTTTAGACGCTTTACTGTATGGATCCCAGAGACAGTCTTGACTTTCAGAGTTGTCTGGGGCTTGTGTGAGATCCAGCCCCCTGTGAGCTACCAAGCCTGGACTGATACCCAGGTCTCTTGTCCCCAAGTCTCTGTTCATTTCACTGTATCCTTACCAGGTAGTGTGAGCCTGGCCTGGGAATGTGAAAAGGAACAGCCCATAGAGTCGCAGGGCTCAGAAAGGACTCTTGTGGGGTGCTTGGCCCACTCTGTGCTCCCTTTCTTGGGAGTGGCGGTGACAGACAATTCAGTGTCTCTTGCAGGACTGTGCCTCACCAGAGAGCAGTGGGTCCCCGGACCCCAAGAGACCAGCAGCTTCTGAGGCTGCTTCGGGAAGCCAGGAGCGGCTGGACTTCAACCGCAACTTACAAGAAGGTAGGATGTCCGTCCTGTCAGAAGCGTGGTCCTGGCTGGTCTCCGGTGGGCCCTCACCCGGCCCTTACCCTGCCTTCTTCCAGTTGTGCCAGCCATTGAGAAGCTGCTGTCCAGTGACTGGAAGGAGCGGTTTCTGGGAAGAAGCTCTGTGGAAACCAAGGATGTCAAAGGTGCGGAGCCTGCGTGCAGAGAACGGGAGGGCGTCTCAGCCAGAGCCTCTCCCTCCTGGTCACACACTCTGGGTATATAGGGCAGAAGCTCAGACACCTGCCCTGTTTCTTTTTTTTTTTTTTTTTTTTTTTTTTTGGTTTTTCGAGACAGGGTTTCTCTGTCGCTTTGGAGGCTGTCCTGGAACTAGCTCTTGTAGACCAGGCTGGCCTCGAACTCACAGAGATCCGCCTGCCTCTGCCTCCCGAGTGCTGGGATTATAGGCTTGCGCCACCAACGCCCGCCCGGCTCCTGCCCTGTTTCTTGACTCCCGCCTGGCTCGCCTGGGAGTCTCTAGGCCTCCCCAGGTGTGGGAGGCCTGGCTGGAAGCAGATCCCATGGGCTGGATCTAGACTCTCATTAGGGACCCTTGAGGCTCATCGTTCAACCCCCCAGGTCTCAGTCTAAAGTGAGCGGAAAGTTTCCACTCACTGTTGGCAGTTGAGGCCAGGCCTCCGGGGCCGAACTGAGGGCTGCTGCTTGTCTCCTCAGAGTGATCATTGTCTCTGTGTTGTCGAGTACACCCACAATGGTAGCTTTAAGTCCATACTTCTGCTCCCCCGCTTGCTGACTGGGGCCCCAGCGATGGAAGCCTGAGCTTCGGCATTTTCCAGCCCTGACTGTAAATGGTCCCCACTTAAGCTCTTAGGAATAAACTGTCCCATCAGACAGCCACGTTGGAACAGAAGGCAGGGACTCGAGCAGACATTGTCAGATCCTAGACAAACAACTTCCCACACATTAACTCAGTTCATCCTCAGTGAAGTAACTGTCATTGTGCCAGTCAATAGATTTGCTTTTTTAATCCCCTAAAGTACAGAGAAGTTGGGCACTGGGCTGGCAGGACAGAGAGGGTGTCAGATGAGTAGGTGGGCGGATAGACAGGTGAACTAACAAAAGCTCTCCGTGGTGGCATTTCACCGTGAGCAGGGACCCAAGAGGGCCTGGCCGAGAAGGAGCTCCAGCTTCTGGTCATGATCCACCAGCTGTCCGCCCTTCGCGACCAGCTCCTCACGGCCCACTCTGAGCAGAAGAACATGGCGGCCATGCTGTTTGAGAAGCAGCAGCAACAGATGGAACTGGCTCGGCAGCAGCAGGAGCAGGTGCCGCCGGCGTGGGCAGGGGCTTCCCAGGCTCTGTGGGAAAGGGGAGCGTCCCTGAGAGGAGACCAGGTTCTGTGAACGGGTGCTCAGCCCTGCACCGCCCCCTCTGTGCGTGCATGGCCTCCTGGGGAAGTCAGGGTAGGCTGGGGGCGGGTGCTGGAGGGGAGTCGGGGCCTCCCGTGACTCCCTTGTCGACTCTGTGCCTCACCAGATCGCCAAGCAGCAGCAGCAGCTGATCCAGCAGCAGCACAAGATCAATGTCCTCCAGCAGCAGATCCAGGTGACCATGGGAGGGTGACACTGGCCTGCCGAGCCACTGGGGAAGCGGGCTGCGCCACAGGCTCCCTCCAGGCTCCATGAAGAGGCCACGCTCTTGCTCCAAATTCCCTCCGATTCTGGAGTCCTGTTTTTAGGGGTGACCCCAGAATGTCTCTCTCCCCCTCCCCCGCACTGAGACTCAGGACGAGGAGATGGGCTCACAGATGTACTACGGGTTCAGATGGAAAGTTGTCCCCACTCTATGCCCCGTGCCCACCTCGGGGCCCGGGCAGACTCCAGCTGGGCAGCTCTTTGGGTCCCCAGAGACTTACAGTGGGTTTCTTTGCCTTCAGCAGGTTAATATGCCTTATGTCATGATCCCAGCCTTTCCCCCAAGTCACCAGCCCCTGCCCGTCACTCCTGACTCCCAACTGGCTTTGCCTATTCAGCCCATTCCCTGCAAACCAGGTGAGTGGGGGCAGGGCAGGGCCGCCACAGAGGCTGCTGTCTTGAGATGAGCAAGGAGGCCAGACCTGGCTCTTCATCCTTTACCGTTCACCGGCCTTTCCGGGCCACAGTTTGGGCCCAGTGGAAGAATAAGTCCTTTCTGAGCTCAGCTGGGAGGATGGAAGGGAAGAGCCCACTGCAAAGCACAAGAGAGAGGAGAAAGAGAACTAGAGAAAGACCTGGGGGGGCTCCCTGAGGAGGGGGGGCTCCCTGAGGAGGGGGGCTCCCTGAGGAGGGGGGCTCCCTGAGGAGGGGACACTTGATGGTTGGGTCCTGGAGAGGACCTAAGAAAGTGAGGGAAAGGCTGGGGTAGGGGCCTGAGGGAAGAGCTTGCAGAGGTGTGCCAGAGTGACAGGGTGTGGGGTGCTGTAGAGGATTGGAACCTGGGTCTGGGAGCGGGTGTGTGGGAACAGGTACGCAGAGAGTGCGTTGCCTCTGGTTGTGGGTGGTGAGAACGAAGGTGACCGATGGGATGATTTCTGGTGACAGTGGCAACAGACAGAGTTGGGGACAGGGCACACATGCTGCCTGTACCTGCCCCAGCAGGATGGGTAGCGATGAAGACTCCTCCTGGTGTACCCTCCCTATTCCCCAAGCCCAAGACAGAGTGCAAGCTCTCTGCCACAAAGCCAGCTTTGCTTGCTAGCTGGATCCATCGTCCTCATCATATCCTCATACTGTAACCCCGTCTCCACCCCAGTGCCCTGACACACCTCCTGTGAGCCATTATTGACAGCTGTCGTGGGGCTAGTGATTATCCATGCTGCATTTCCATGCTTCCCTTGGGTCTAGGCCTAGTGAGATAGGGTAGGTACGGGAGAGAATGTATAGGCCAAGGATGGGTTGTAGTGTCTAGAAGAGACCTGGATTCAAATCCTGGTGCTGCCGTGTAACGGCTTTGTGGGCAGCCTAATGAAGGTCTGTTACCCGATCTGCTGTGATCTCCAGAGAAGCCTGACTAATACACCTGTAAAATGAGATGGGTGTTTTGAGCTTATGATCGCATGGGCTTTATCACAGGGGAAAGCACACAGGGCACTCCTCCCAACACTCAGCAGGTACAAGAGCAGAGCGCGCCCTCCCTTGCATGGACCAAGGCAAACTCTTTAGAGTAGACTGGAAAGGGCAGGTATGGCCATCAGCCTGCAGGGACCGGGCAGGAAAAGGGGATGACAGACGCCCACTGTGCCTGATGAGGACAGAAGGCTGGGGCCAGCTCTAGACTCAGCCCACCTGCATGTAGCAGTGGGACCTGTCAGTCACACAGGTACCTGCTGTTCTGGGCTCATCTGGGACGTTGCCCTTGCTTTTCTTTCCCCAGTGGAGTACCCGCTGCAGCTGCTGCACAGCCCTCCTGCCCCTGTGGTGAAAAGGCCTGGGGTGGCCACCCACCATCCTCTGCAGGTACTGCCCCGCCTACCGTGGGTACTCCCCCACCCGCCCACTGCGGGTACTTCCCCACCCACCATCCTCTGCAGGTACTGCCCCGCCCACCGCGGGTACTCCCCAACCCGCCTATTGCGGGTACTCCCCCGCCTACTGTGGGTACTCCCCAACCTGCCCACTGCAGGTATTGCCCCGCCCACTGCAGATACTCCCCGCCCACCGCAGTACTCCCCCGCCTTTCTTTGTTCTCCTTGTCTCCCTCCTGTCCGCTCTGGGCATGTGTGCTGATCCCACTTTCTCCCTGAGTCCTGTCTGTCCCACAATAGGAAGGGGTCCTCCTTTGATGTCTCTCACTTTCTGGGTCCCCAGGAACCCCCACAGCCATTGAACCTCACAGCCAAGCCCAAGGCTCCTGAGCTGCCCAACACCTCCAGCTCCCCCAACCTGAAGATGAACAGCTGTGGGCCTCGCCCCTCCAGCCACGGGGCTCCCACAAGGGACCTGCAGTCCAGCCCCCCCAGCCTCCCTCTGGGTAAGCTTTTCTGTGTGCTCTCACCAAGAGGACAGTTCTTAGATGCCACTGGCCACACATCCCTTCCCTTCTCAATTCCAGTTTGGGGTTTTAAAAATTCCAAGGCACCTTATCACTGAGCTCCACTCCCGTCTCCGCTTTCTTAAAGCCAGGGTCTAATCTTACAAAGAGGAGGCCGCCTCCTGCATCCCATTTGTCCTCCAGGACCGGATTAGACTGCCCAGGGTCGCACTGAGATTCAGATTTGGGAGTACTGCTTCATTTCCAGCCCCTTAGGACCACCAGGCAGTCCCATGAGGGTGTGTGGGAATAGGCAGCCACCACTGAGACGCAGCCACAAGGAGCTCCTAGGAGTGACGGACGTGGCAGGCAGTGTGATAAGTGTGGGTTGCCCCTGGGATAAAGCCCTCAGGTCCCCTGCCCGTCACTCTGCTCCCTCTTCAACAGGCTTCCTTGGTGAGGGGGATGCTGTCACCAAAGCCATCCAGGATGCTCGCCAGCTGCTGCACGGCCACGGTGGAACTCTGGAAAACTCCCCCAACCCCCCATTCCGAAAGGTATGGCATGGGCCACACCTCCTCTTTCCAGAGGGCGGGGCATGTGATAGAAGATGTAGGGTGACACAGGAGGCGTGATGTCTCTGTCGCCTGCAGGACCTCATCAGCCTGGAGTCTTCCCCAGCTAAGGAGCGGCTGGAGGAGAGCTGTGTGCACCCGCTGGAGGAAGCCATGCTGAGCTGTGACATGGATGGTGAGGGAGGGCTCTGGGCGCCACCTCACTCCGTTAGGGCGGTGTCTGTCTCTCATCCCTTGTCTCCCTCTTTTCTCGGGTCCTCCTGGGGTAAAGCCCTCAGGCCCTGGCATGCATCTCCTTTGTGCCCTGGTATCTGCAGTTCCGGTTCCCTGCTGTGCCTGTTCTCTGGCTGTGGTTGCTGGCCTCTGCTTCCCGCCTGGGCTGAGCTGACCTCTGTGTGAGCCTCCTCAGTGCCTCCTGGTGGCCATGCAAGGGATGTCTCTGCCGGCCCCGGAGCTGGCTCTGCCTGCCTGACTCTGTCTAACCCATCCTCCAGGCGCTCGCCATTTCTCCGAGTCCCGGAACAGCAGCCACATCAAGAGACCCATGAATGCCTTCATGGTATGGGCCAAGGACGAGCGGAGGAAAATTCTCCAGGCCTTCCCGGACATGCACAACTCCAGCATCAGCAAGATTCTTGGTAAGGGTCAGGATGGCTGGGTCCTCTACAGTGGAGGGGTTCAGTCCAGGAGTCATGGTTCAGTAGGACTGGGTCCCAGGAGTCAGCTGGGTCTACTTGGGGCTTGCGTGGTGATATTCCATGCCTTGTTGAACCCTGGTAGAATCTTAGAGGGTGTGGGAGACGATGTGATGGGAGGCTGGATCCTGGGACCTTGTACCAGTACAAGACTCTTCTGGTTGCTCCTGCCCCTGGAACTTTGTGTGTTCCTTACCAGGCCCATATCCCCAATGCCTCCCGGCCTGTGCTATGGCAGTAAACCGGAGACTGGTATTATCAGTATCAGTACCAAGACTTTAAGTGCCACATGGTGTCTGAGACTGAGGCGGGGCAGGGCAGAGAGGCTGTGTGAAGGTGATGCGGCTGAGTTCTCCAGTAGCAGTGCAGAGACTGACAGTGGATGCGCGGAGGCCGGGAGTGGCTTCTCTCTTGTGCAAGCCCTTGGGAAGATACCTCTAGGGGGCGGGGCCATTGTTCAGCATGAGGGTGGTGCTGACTACCTGTCGTTAGCAGTCTCATCCATTCCCTGGGCCAGCATCCACACCGGGCCAGGCCCTTGCCGAATGCTTATACCTGTATCACCTGTGGATCCCCCTTGGGGCCCAGGGTCCAGCCAGGGCTTCCAGAGCTCGGGACCTGGTGTACTCAGAGAGTCTGGCCCTGAGTTCTCGCCTGGGTTTGGATCAGGCTCTCGCTGGAAGTCCATGACAAACCAGGAGAAGCAGCCGTACTACGAGGAGCAGGCCCGTCTGAGCCGGCAGCACCTGGAGAAATACCCCGACTACAAGTACAAGCCCAGGCCTAAGCGCACCTGCGTGGTGGAGGGCCGGCGTCTGCGTGTGGGCGAGTACAAGGCCCTGATGAGGACACGGCGCCAGGGTGCTCGCCAGAGCTACGCCATCCCGTGAGCAGGCCTTCCCCGGTGGCCAGAGGCAGCTCGTGGCTGCCTCGAGAGGCTGGGTTCATGTGTGGCTGGCCTTTGTGTGAGGCATGCAAGGTCTGTGTGGCTGTCCACTGGGCATCTGTGTGCACCTGTGTGTCATCTGCCTGTGCGTGACTCCTGGTAGATGATGGTTACATGTGAGACTGGTGACTGGGGGTCGAGTCGCACTCAGAATGACTTGGGGCACCCGAGGCCTGACAGAAGCAGGGCAAGTTCAGATGCACTACAGGGGCTCATCCCATGGGAAGGTTCCTTGACTATAACCCAGGCAAACACAATAGTGGAGTCCTGTAGACAGCGACTCTAAAATGAAGTCGTATTCATGTGCCGCCTTCCAAGAATACACCATGGCTCTCAATTTTCCAGCTCGAGCTGACAGTTAATTTGGCCGTCAGGATGCAAACAGGGCCAGGGTATTTCAATGCCCCAGGCGGGACAGGAGTTGGATGCATGCCTTCGAGGCCTGGAGGACACCTAGGGGGGTGGGCTGGGAGGGTGCGTGGGTACATCTGTAACTGCACCTTTTCTCTGCCTCTCAGCCCGCAGGCTGGCCAGGCACAGGTGAGCTCCTCAGATGTCCTGTTCCCTCGGGCAGCAGGCATACCCCTGGCACAACCACTGGTGGAGCACTATGTCCCCCAGGGCCTGGACCCCAACATGCCGGTCATCATCAATACCTGCAGCCTCCGGGAGGAAGGGGAGGGCACAGATGACAGACACTCAGTGGCTGACGGAGAGATGTACCGGTACAGCGAGGACGAGGACTCAGAGGGCGAAGAGAAGAGCGATGGGGAGTTGGTGGTGCTCACAGACTGATCCCCAGCTAGCTGGGCCTGGCCTGTCTCCACTGGGGAAGACCTCGTTCCCAACCCAGCAGGCACAGCCAGCCATCCTGAACTATGTTGGTACTTGGACTTGGGTGTGCCCAGGTGATCGGTGAAGCTGTGCACTTGTAGATACATTCCCAAGGTGTGTGTGGGGGGGGGGGCGGTGTCCTCTTTGGGCACATCTGGGGTTAGTGTCCTGGCTGGGTGGGATTCATGTGGCTGTGATGGGCCAAGCTGGCGGAGGTCTTTGGCCCTTGGGGGTTAATGGCCAGGGAACACTGGATGTACTCCCTCTTGTAGTCCCACCTACCTGAGGGGATGGCAGGTACACGCCTGTCCCCAAACATGCTTTGTTTCCATTTTGTCTTGGGCAAACCAGCCATGGTGGGACAACATGTCTGCCCCCAGAAGCTCCCAGGCTACTCCTCTGTCTCCTGGATCACTTCGTACTTCGTACAGAAGGGTCTGGCTCTCTATCCTGTCCTTGTCTTCCAAGTCCATGTGCCTCTCTCGCCTCAGAGAGAGAGAGAGAGAGAGAGAGAGAGAGAGAGAGAGAGAGAGAGAGAGAGAGAGAGAGAGAGAGAGAGAGAGAGAGAGAGAGAATGTCTGTCTGTCTGTCTGTCTGTCTGTTCTCACACGTCATCTCCCCTCTATGGGCAGAAGGTATTTGCTAAGTGGCTGCTGTGAGCCAGGCATGTTGATGAGCTCTGCGATGTCTCTCTTGATGCTTTTCTGGGGGCCTCTTCTGTGCTTCTTTGTCCCCAAATTGCTACCTCTTCGTCAGTCTGGTGTCTCAGGTTCTGTGTGTTCTCTCCCAGTGTGCATTTCTCTCTATTCCTCCATCTGCCCCACGCTCACTGGATTCTCTGGGGTTCTGCAGGACCCAGCCTGCCTCTGGGACTGGCAGTTTCCTGACCCCACGCCGACCCCTTTCCTCCCCCTGACTTTGCCAGTCATTTCCCACGGAGCCATTTTTAGCTCCTAGTACTGTGAGAGTGTGCCTCAGCCTCCAAGGGGCTATGTCCAGATTTTCAACCCGAGTCCCGGGCGCAGGGGCCAGAGGACTGATGACTCCTCTCTTTGTCGGTGACAGCCCCGCAGAGGGAACCCCATGGCAGCTGGTCTCTATCTCTTCTTCATGTCCTGGGGAATGGGCTACATTCCTGATAAACTTCCTGGTTGTTTCCCAAGAAAATCAAAGACCATTAGCACCTAGCTCCAAAGATCTGGCACAGTCCCAAGCCAGGGAGATGACCCCAAACCCCACATGGCCAGGTGCCCCCCACTCCTCCCATGACCCTATTTCTCTCCAGACTGTTTCTTTTTATGACTGTAAACATAGATAGTGCTTTATTTTGTTACTAAGAAGATAATGATGAATAACTTAACCAGCACATTTGTTTTCTGATGGCATAATAAAGACCGACCATTTCAGAATTCAGACCCTTGCTCTGCCAAGGCTGGCCTGAATCCATGTCCAAGTCTGGCGCCAGCCAGGCACTGCTGCTCCCTGGTGGCAGCATATGGGATCATCGGGCAAAGTATCTGGAAGAACTGGCTTTGACAAGGAGACCAGGACAGGCCTGTGAGTGACACATTGATGCTCAGGGAGTCACTGAAGTGGCCTGGAGGAACAGTGGCTCAGCTCTCTCCTTTGGGCTCCACTGTCCCACCTGAAAGCAAGAGACTTAAACTTCTCCGTGATTCTTACCCCCTCCCCGGGAGAGGGAGCCCCTTGAATCCCGTGAAAGCTGGGGGCTCATCCCAGAAGAGCCATCTCGCACACTCAGGATCTGTCTCGTGGGCTCCCTGCCATACTTGTTAAGGGAACACTGTCTCTGGATGTTCTTCAAGACTCCGTGACGACCTTGCACTTTGAATGGGGATTTCAAAGGCATAGTTGTAACATCCTCGCTGGAGACAGGACTGGGGGAAAGACCCAAAGTCTTCAAGATTAATGGGATTCTGATCTTGGTTAAATTATGCCATCAGCATGGAGCGGGGGAAGCGACACTGAACAGGAACTCCAAGGGATGGGCCAGATTAACAGGGTTCCCTCCTCAAGGGCAGTGCATGTCCCACACAGGCTTGGTCCCAAGTGTATCAGCCTAGCTCAGACCCCCTCTTTAGAAAGAGCCGCTCTCCTCTGGGAGGGCCCAGAGTCAGCCTGTGAGGATAGAAGGATGCTTGTAGGTATTCTTAGAGGAAAGGTTCAAGGGGGCCAGGATCATCCAGTCTGGAAAGGGGGCAAGAGGGAAAGGATAGTGTCGGTTTCTGGGTGGCAAAGGGGGATGCTGTGTATTGTGAGGCTACATGTACGCGCGCGCGCACACACACACACACACACGCATGTGCGCACGCACTTGCGCATGCACAAGCTCTTCAGCAAAGACATTCAGAAATCGTAGGAGCTTTGGAACCCAGAAACTAATGGTTCGGACTTGACACTGAGGGGAGGGGCGCGTTTCTTAGTTTTACGTCGGTAGGTATGGCAGGGTTGAGACCACATGCCACAGGCAGTGGGTCAGGGAGTGCCGTCATTCCCAGCCCTGCCCTTCAGAGCTCTGACTGCCTTTCCTTGCTGTCCTCACACCCTGGCGCCCTGGCCAGCTTTGAGAGAGGGGCCAACAAGACCAGACTAGGGTTCTGGAAACTTTATCTGGCTGCTGCCTGGCTCAGTTAAGTGGCCACTAGGGGGAGCTGCTCATCTCAAAGCTCCTAACTTCACCCCAAACTCCCACCTTGGTCAAAACTACATCTTGTAATCTCCCTGGAAGTCTTTTCAGTCCTGAATTTCCCCCTTGTCACCCTGTGATGATCTCCTGAAGCCTGGAGGGCTTGGGCCCTCACTGCCCATATCCACAGTCCTCATCTAGCTGCTGTGACACACACACACACACACACACACAATCCTCTGGCTAACTGGAACCTCACCTCTTCCCGGGAGAAACAGGGCGTGGTCAGGTGGGCAGAAACAGGGACAATGTGTTCTGGTCACTACCAGGAAAGCTAGCCACAAGCTCACCTGGCCCCTGCCCACCTCTCCACAGGCCAAAGGTCAGCCCTGGGGAGTTGACCTTGACCTGGATCTACTGCCTAGGGTGACAGGAGGGAAATAGGACTCAGGCATTGTGTGTGGGGGGTGCAGGCCCTCTCTCTCCTCCAGCCCGACTGCTTGCCCGCCCCAGCCATACTCAATGCTGTGCCCTTGTCTACAGGGTGCTAACTCAAAGCCCTAGGAGACCAGCTGCCTATGAAGTCACCTGCGCAGGACTAACTGTTCTAACCAGACTGCGGGCATTGCTATGTAATTTTGTCCATGGCCACCAGCATCTACAGGTGACCTCAGGGTCCCTTCCTTCCCAGCTCTGACACCATCTGTATACCTGGGCACATCTTTCCCCCCAGGTCTTCCGTCATCCACTCTGGAGGCCTGCCTCCACAGGACCGTGTGACCTTGAAGGCCCTAGCCGGCAGTGTCCATGAAAGCTGTTGCCATGACGCCTGGTACATTTGCAGGCAAATGTCAGACAACCAGATTCTTACCTACCTCTGCCCCAGCCAGTTGCTACCAGTCAAGATGGTTGGGGTTTTCTCACTTGAGTTTCTGCTCTGGCCTCCTGAGGAGGCTGGTTACAAAAACTGTCGTGCCTGCTGTCAGAGTAGCTCTCTCCCACCCCAGTAGATGAGGGCCAAAGAGGACTGTGGAGGGAGGCCAGAGTGTTCTTTCTGTTCTGTTTTCTGCAGGCCCTCCCCTTGACTGCCCCAATTCTTGTCGTCTGCATCCATGGCTCCCCTGTAATCAGTGAACTGCAGAGGCAGCTTCAGGGTGGTGCAAGTGGGGAGGCTGTGGGGGAGAGCCTTGCCCAGGTCTACAGGGTGCCAGGCACGGATGGCACCAAAGATGTAACCCAAGCAAGAGCAAACCCCACAGGCGCAGCGGAAGGGAGGTTGAGGCTCACCCAGCTCCATGTGTACAATGGTCACACTCCAAGCCATTGTCCTTCTGGAGACAGCGTTCCAGAAACAAACATTTTAATGCAGAAAAACATGATAATTTACAAATGAATCACAGTGGGGCCTACAGCTGCCCCCTAGGACTGGGAGGTGGAGACTGCGCTGGTAACACTTTCAATATCTGGCCATGCCCAGGCAACCGTGCTTCCACTGCTGATTCCCACGCGGGAAGACCTTGGTTGTGTTCACAATAGAAGACAGTGGGACAGATCCATGGAGGGGAGAGAGGTGAAGGCTGCTGCTCGTTCTGGTACCTGCAGCCTGGCCCGAGGTCACATCTACTCCAGGTCTGCTGTTCCCTCTGCAGAGGCCAAAGCACCCCGGGAGCTGGGGAAGGAGTGACTGGAGGGCATCTGGCTTGGAGAAGTTAGCGCTGCTGTGCCTAGCAGGGAGTTCTGCCTCCAAGGTGACAGTAGAGTTTGCTTCCTGCTGACTTGGGGCTCAACACCTCTCACCTGAGGCAGATGTGGCTGAGCTGGAGGCTGGGGCACCAGAGGTAGAAATGAGCCCTTCCCCTCGCCTATTAGGAAGGGTCAAGGACAAACTGAGGCAGCGCAAGCTCCAGCGGGCCTGGGCTGGCAATGGTGTGCTCTTACAGGGTGGAAGTCTAGGCCCCATGCTAGCTGCAGGCACTTCCTCTCCAAGCCTGGCAGGGTGAAGGGGACCCCCTCCAACACTAGGCTCCAGCCCCTCCAAGCAGGAAAATGAAGTCTTCATTGGCATCCCCTGGAGGCCTTCACCATGGCTGCCCACCTTCCTTCCCCAAGGGCGCCAACCCCAAGACAGAAGGGAGCCCCGGGGAGCAGGTCCGGCAGAAGGATGCGAAGGAGCAGGAGGCTGGTCACTTTGGCATCTCCAAGGCCAACACCTGAGGCTTCACCTTAAAGTACTGGTTGAATCGGATCACGGCATACCTGCCAGGGACAGGGCAAGGAAGCAGATGAGCATGGAGACTGGCAGCCCCTGAAGACTCCGCCTCCCAGCTCAAGTCTGGCTAGGGCTGGGCACCTCAACTCTTTGTTTGTTTGTTTTTGAGAGGGTTTCTTTGTGTAGCCCTGGCTGTCCTGGAACAAATTCTATAGATCAGGTTGGCCTCTAACTCACAGGAGATCTGCCTGCTTCTGCCTCCTAAGGGCTGAAATTAAAGACATGCACGATCACGGTCCCTGCTAGGGGCAAGTCAACTCTAGAATGCCTTCACTGCCGTTTCATGTTCTTCAGCCAGACTGGAGCAACCCTCCCAAAGATGTGTTTGGTGTTTTGTTTTTATTATTATTTGCCGATATAGCTATTGCTTCACAGTGGGCCTCCAGAACGTTTTAGTCTTTCGAAGCTACAACTGTTAACTCTCGTCACTGCCTGGTCCCAGCCCGGTGACCGTTCTGCTCTGTTCCTGTGCACATGACTCTATCACCTCTCATAGTCCTAAGGCGTCTGTCTTACTCCACTTAACAAAATGTCCTCAAGGCTCATCTGCATGGCACGTGACCAGACGCCCTTCCTTTCAAAGCCAGAGTGTTCTGTGTCATTCATTCATCAGGCGATGACACTTGGTGAGGGCCAGTGTTCTAAAACAAACACGGGTGTGCAGCCACTACTGAGAGCCCACTCTTCTGCTGTTTGGGACATGCACCAGGAGGAGGGTTGCTGGATCGTACAGGTGTTCTATTTTTCAGTGTTTGAAGAAACATTCTTTCGCAGAATGGCTGGGCCAGCTTACAGTCCCAGCACCGTACAGGGTTCTAGTTTCCTTGCAAACGCTCTTGATTTTCTGTCTTTGTTAGTTTTGCACCATACTCTGATGTGTGCCCCAGTATCTGAGCCTGCACGGTGCTACGGCTGAGAGTGGATGGAGACAGAATGGAGGAATTGATCCCCCGCCTGCAAGGACAAAGGGACCTCACTAAATGGGCCCCCAAGCTGTCACAGTAAGAGTTTGGATATGGCCCCCATGCCTAAGCAAGAGGTAGATATGAGGGGTCATGGTCCCCGGGCGGCAGTATGGGTAGATCTAAGTCTCCCAAGTCATCTGCACTCTGTAGCTCCTCCTTAGTGCATGTGGAGGTCAGAGGTCAGAGGGCAACTTTCAGGATTTGGTTCTTTCCTCCCACAGGTTCTGGGGGTCAAACTCAGGTCACCAGACTGGGCCACAAGTGCCTTTACCCACTAAGCCATCTCAGTGACCTTCCATCCTTTGACACCGACTCTCAGGCCTGTCTTTACTTGTTCCAGGCTCTGGCTAAGATGGCACCAGCAGAGTGGGCCTGGTGCTGGGTAGGACTGTATAGGAGCCTTAGTGGGCGATGGGATCACTTTCACTAGGCTTGGTGGGGCTCGCTGTGAAGCTGGGGTTGGGTCAGCTGTGCACTGGAAGGACTCTGGCATTCTGTTTTGACTAGCTTGGTCACGTGGTAGTCACGGCTCTCCCTTTTCCCCACACGCATCTTCCCGCACACATCTCCCCATACTCACCTGAGGAAGTCGAAACTGATGGTGGAGTATTGGTTCTGTATGAGTGCCCAGAGTGCCCAGAAGAAATGGGATGCCTGCAAACAGGCCAGAGAGTCAGCCCTACAAGGCCACACTTGTCATAGCCCTCAAGAGCAAGAGTGACACAGCCACCTTGGGCAGAGCTAAACATAGACCAGTGTGGGGAAAAGTGGAGGCCAGGCCACTGGATAGCACTTGGTGACTCACTACCCACCTGTAAAAGGCAAGCAGAGCCAGTTCTAGCCAGAGCTCAGCATCCAGGTGAGCAGAAGGGGGCTCCAAAGACTCCAAGGTTCCCCAGACTGCCTCTCTCCACCCCAAGCTCTAAGAGCCAGAAAGCCATGATTCCCAGTTACCCCTGAAAGCTACAACACCATCACCTTCCTAGGCATGGGGGCATACCCTTAGAGCTTTTCCCACACACCCCAAGCCTTGGTCACACAGTTGCTAAGGAGGGCTCCCTCCACTTCCCTTTCCATGGCTTAGAAGGGATGTAGGCGAGCCAACAAGAATGGGGTTGGTTAATTTGCTGAAAAGTTGAGCAAGGGAAGATTTGCTCTTAAGGTGCAACAAGGGAGGAAAGGGGTCAGGTTTGGGCCAGCATGGACCAGGACAGGCAACCAGTCGCAGAAAAGACAGATTTTCTAAGCTCTGTTATGAATTGTGAAACCTAGAGCTGGCTTGTCTCCCCGTGTGTTACCTAGTCACCTCGACACACACCAGTGGTGGGGGGAGCCTGGGAGGCAAGGCTGATAAGTTGTAAGCTAGGTCGTGGTGGTGGTTACAAGAAGGGTCTTAGTGTAGCATGAAACGTTAAGGTTAGCTAGCAGAGAGAAGCACCCATCCAAACTGTTTGCTGAGCCGGGAAGCTGAGGTGTTTCTTGGAACTATTCTAGTGAGGTGGGTGGCAGGAACATTAAGGGAACACCTAAAATGGCTGTTTTCAGACCCTTTCTTGGTGGGGTGCAGTCCACAACTGGACTGTGTCAAATTGATACAAGCTCAAATCATTTCAGAAGAGGGAATCCAAATTGAGAAGATAACCCCACTGGACTGGCCTGTAGGGCATTTTCGTGACAGATTTGGGAGGGCCCAGTCCACTGTGGGCGGTGCTACTCCTTAGGCTGGTGGTCTTGCATGGCATGAGAAAACAGGCTGAGCAAGCCATGGGGAACAAACCAGTAAGCAGCACCCCTCCTAGCCTCCACATTTTCTGCCTCCGGGTTCCCTACATGATAGACTTAAGCTGTAAGGCAAAATAAACCCTTTCCTACCCAAGTTGCTTCTGGTCATCATGTTTCATGCCAGCAACAGAAGCCCCCACTAAGCACAGCCGACCCTGGGCTGTGGGTGAGAAACTGGCGGGTCCAGGCACTCACCAAAGCAAATTTGTTGACTTGTGCGTAAAGCCGCTCCACCTCTCTGGGGGTCGCAGCTGCTCCCTTTTGTGCCTCAAGATAATAGCGCAGCCACTGCAGCTGGATCTCCCGAGCTGGGTACCGGCAGTAGTCAACCTCATTCACGCCTGTGAGACAGAAGTTGCTGGAAAAGCTCCTCGCAGGTTTGAGCCCAGGAGTCTCCCACCTGGAGCTGCTGGCTGACCTGAGGAGGAGCCCTGTCGGTGGAGGGGGTCTCCTCTGCCCAGCCGGGTACCACTTGCCTGGGGCTGAGGAGAGAGGCTGACTGGCCAAGTGCTAGGTACTGCCCTGCAAGTGGAAGGAATCCCAAGGCAGTGCCTCTGAGGGCAGCGCCTGCCACTCTGTGAAGGGATGCCTCGCAGAAGGTCTCAGACTTGGCACCACTTGACCTCAGAACAGCCCTCCCATTTCAGGGCCCTAATTCCTTCACATTCCAGACACGGAGGTGGGCTTAGCTACCAGTTTTAAATGTCACTGCTGGAACTGGCATTTCCCAGGGAGTGCCCCGCCTCCACTGACCCCCCATGACTGACCCTTCCCTGTTCTAAGTGTTTTCAAGTCGCTTCCCAGATCCTCCAGGTGTGTGCTTGGCACAGGGTAGGCCAGGAATTATAAGCAGTTTAGTTAAGGGGGAGCAGAGCTGGGCCGCACGCATCTCCAGGGTTTCTCCTTGCCCTTCTCACACCCTTCCCATGCGTCCCTGATAGCCCCAGAGAAACAGTTTCCCAGTTCTAAGCATGTGGGCAGTAAAGACTCTCCCTTGCACATGAAAAGGCCCAGGGCACGCAGCCAGTTAGAGGTGGCATTGGGTTGGACCTGTATCTTCCTACTGCCCAGAGGCTGCCTGCCAGCTCCTAAAGGCTACAGCCACCCCTTTGGAGAAGCTCCAACTCAACTGTGCTCTGTGGATAAGGACTTAACACCTCTGGGAAGGCCTCCCAGCAGCCCTGCCAGACATGTGCCCTGCAGGCCAAGCTTGCTTCAGCTCATCACGGGCCAGCTGACGCCCAACCCCTCCCTCTGATTGCCCTAAAGAGCTGGGCTCCTGGGTGCAAGCGACTGCACAGACCTGATCCTCTGAGGCTCCAAAACAGATGTGATTCTTCAATCTGGACTGGGCTAGTTAGGGGAACGGCCAAGGGATGACTCCACAGCTGGTGGGGGCTGTGCCTATCCTGAGGATGGAGTATTTTCTTCCTTCTTTTTTCTTTTTGGTACTAGGTATTGAATTCAGGGCCCTGTACACGCTAGGCAAGTGGTCTACCACTGAGATATCTTAAATTAACTATCTTTAATTCTAAGACGGGGTCTTACTAAGTTGGCCAAATTAGCCTTGAACATATACTGTAGCCCAGAAAGGCTTTGAACTGGGATCCTCCTGCCTCAGACCCCCAAGTAGCTGAGATTACAGAACTGCACAACTGAACTGAGTCCAGCTTGGAAGGGGGTCCTCCTTAATTCTCGTGCCAGGCTGAGTAGCCCCTGGGGCCCTACAGTAAATGAGTTTTCTTCATTTGTACCAAACTGCCTGTCACACAGGCTAGCAGAGGTCAGCTCTGGAGAGGAGTTCCTTTCTGTGAGATAGGTTGCTCTTTAAAAGCAGGCTGTGTACACCTCCCACCCATCACGACCCAAGTCCTTCCCATAGATTTGCCACCCCATCGTAAGGAGGCCACTGAGGTCAGAGTCAAGCCCCTACCTGCAAACTCATTGAAATGGTTGCCAATGTCGAAAGCCTGGTAGTTGTAACCTGCGTATTCATAGTCGATGAACCGCACATGGCCTGTGAGAAGAAGAAACGATGAAAGCTGGTTCCAGATCTGGACATGGGGCGTGTCAGACTTCTAGACTTCCACACACACCCTGTGGCCCTCCCTGATCTCTGCCACAGCCTTCTAAACTGCTCCCTGCCTTTCTCATAGCTCCAGCCCCCTCTAGCTGGTCCTCAGGTTCCCTCTCTAAAGGCATCTGTCTGTCCACAGCATAGGTAAGGATAAGAAAGCAATACCATGCCTCTGGGTCCCACAGCCATGGGCTCAACTAACGTATACTGAAAATCGTTAAAATTTGATCCGAGGAATGGAGATAAGGCCCAGTGGTTAAGAGTACAGACTAACTGGGTGGCAGTGGTGGTGCACGCCTTTAATCTCAGCACTCGGGAGGCAGAGACAGGCAGATCTCTGTGAGTTCGAGGCCAGCCTGGTTTACAGAGTGAGTTCCAGAATAGTCAGGACTGTTTCACAGAGAAACTCTGTCTCGAAAAACAAACAAACAAACAAACAAAAAAGTACAGGCTACATACACATAAAGTACTAATTTAAAATTTCTTGTGTACTAGACATGTACAGACTTCTCCCTTTTGTCATCCCTAAGACAGCATTGCTTACCACCCATTTAGCTCACATTTCCAGTGTATTGGACATTTGCTTTCACTTGCTTTCAGGGTGCTGGGGACAGGACTCTGGGTCTCACACATGGTAACCAAGCACTCTGGCTGCAAAGCCCCACTCTGCTGTCTTACTGGAGACTTGTTGCCACTCTCAGATGTCCCACAACCGATCTTGGGTGTGTAACGAGGGACTCCTGTATTCCCAGGGGAACTGCATTCTCAGGAATAGTAAGAAGCAAATAATCCCCCCCCACTTCACTTCCCCATTCTCCTGCCCTCTCAAGGCTGAGGAGGCCATGGTGTCCTCAGAAGCTCATAAAGTCATCAGGACACATGACCTGGATGTCCTGACGGAGAAGGCCTTCCCATCTATGATTGAGTTCCCTCTTGCAATACGTTTTTCTAGGTGGTACTTTCCTGTTCCCCTTTCCTCTTCATTCTCACAAGTTAAGATCACCGTAAGGCATAAGCAGCGTTCTCCGCGATAAAGCAAAGTCCCTGACCTTGGAGTCCTTTAGCAGGCCAGCCAGATGGCCCGTGTCCTCACATCAGAGGGGCTTGAGGGGCTGTACCTTTGGTGCTGTCATAGATGATATTCTTGCAGAGCAGATCATTGTGACAGAACACCACAGGGGACTCTAGCTGGGATAGGTGTTCCTTGAGCCAGGCCAGCTCCTGTTCCAACACCTCCACCTTAGGGACATCTGCAGAAAGGCTAGACAGTGGCAAGAAAGGAAAACGTCAGTGGCAGGTTGGGAGAGGGTTGACTTTGACAGGCAAGCCCTACACTCCAGTCCAACCATTCATTGGCTGTGAGGGGATGGTCGTGCACGTGAAGTAGGGAGAGCTGGGGGCAGTTCTAGGCCTGGAAGACCTCATCTAGGAGAACGGGTCAGCCCAGCAGAGCCTCCACAAGAGCTTGTCCTGTCCTTCTGGCTCCCAGGGTTACATTGAGAAGGTTAAAACCTGGTCATAAAAGTAGCAGCCAGGGGGCTGGAGAGATGGCTCAGAGGTTAAGAGCATTGACTGCTCTTCCTGGGGTCCTGAGTTCAATTCCCAGCAACCACATGGTGGCTCACAACCATCTATAATGAGATCTGATGCCTTTTTCTGGCCTGCAGGCAGACATGCAGACAGAACACTGTATACATAATAAAAAAAAGTAGCTGGCAGAACATAAAAGTCACTAAATAAGCAGGGCAGTGGTGGTGCACAAATTTAATCTCAGCACTCTGGTGGATCTTTGTGCGTTCGAGACTAGCCTGGTCTACAGAGCAAGTTCCAGGACACGCAGGGATACACAGAGAAACTTTGTCTTAAACAAACAAACAAGTCAGTCACTAAATGGCATCCCTGCTACTCTGTGAAATGAACAGGGTGAGGATGGGGACCCAGGAGAAGACAGGAGAGGTGACAAGTGCTGAGGTCAGAGACTATGGTCAAATCAGCCATGTCACAGGGCTGTAACAAGGCAAGCTACCTTCTGTGCGATGTCAGAGAAACAACAGCACCCCAACACACCCCGAGTGAGAGACCTGTTTTGCCACTCCCAGCAACTAATTCCTGTAACCTTGAGTTCTGAGATCTTCCTGTCCCTGGTATCTGCTAGACTAGCTTGAAGGCGGAACAAAAACTGCACAAGGCCACCCCCTCACCCCCCCCCCCCCCGCTCCGTGTCACACCGAAGTAGCGTTGTCTGCCAAGAATGCTAGGCCGGGGAATGACCTATCATGAGTCAATCAATGCAGAAGTTGGGTAAGGACACGCCGTACTCAGGTGCTCTGTTAACTTTGACCCTTCAGTTACACAGTCTGTGTACAATGGAAAAGCCAAACAGCATAGTCTTTCAAAATTCAGAACTACCCCTGGGAAGGGGGGGCTGGGCTGGTCTCCACTCCTGTTTCTCTGCCCAGGACAGTAAAGCTCACAGAGGAAGATGACAATGAGATGGACAGAACTGTCTAAGATGTCCCCAATGTCCCCTGTTGGAAAGGAATGCCAAGGCTAGAGGGGTCTTGGGCCTTCCATCCTACAGACTGGGAAATGCAGGTTCCAGAAAGGGGAAAAGCCTCATCCTAGATGACTCATAGCATGTGTACATCGAACCCAACACCTCAGTCCAACTGGGTTTTCAGCCTACCTACTGTGTGTCCTTACCACGGGTCTCTGCACCCTTGGTCTGTCCCCTCTGTCTCTGAGGCAGGCAGCCCTCAGAGAGAGGGGCAGGCCAAGCTCCATCATCAGTCATTCGAATGCCCCTCCCTGAAACTACTTTGGAATTCCTCTTTTCCTCTGAGGCTATCTCAAGGTAAAGACCGAGGAGGATTCCTTTGGTTTGCCCAAGTCTCAGTCTGAAAATCATGCCTGTAACAGCCGGATGCTGGCCTCAATCTGACCCTACCCTGCCACGCCAAGGCCACTGCAATACTTCCTATGAGAACAATCCGGGCCTATCTCCAGGGCCCCCTCTCACTGCCATGTCCCTCCCTGAACATGTGGACCTCTGCCAGCTTTGTTGCCTTCCATCCTGCCAGCCCCAAATCCCTCCACCTCCGTAGGGTTGGTGGTAGGGCAGCCATCGCTGCCACCCAGAAGCATCCTCACCCCGGAAACAGCAGAAGGGATGAGGGCTGGGGTCTCTAAGAGGCCTGGGACTCCTGCTGGGGGAGGGGCTGCTGCCTGGCCATCTCATCCAGTTCCCATTGGAGGAGCAAACGTTGTTTTCTAAGGGACCAGCTCTGCTGTTCCAGTCTCTTGCCTTTCTACATTTGCCCTTTTCTCCGTCCGCCCATCGGTACCCCCTCATGATGTCCATACTGCCCCGCCCAGGGCCAAAAAGCCACCAGTGCCACCAAATAGCTTTCTACAGTCTCTGACATAGTGTCTGTCCTCCATTGCCACCTACCCACCAGGCTGCCCCAAGCAATGCTGTCCCCGATGTGTTCTGTGCTTCTGGGAGGCCACCTACATGCAGTCCTGGCCGAGTAGAAGCTCTCCCTGGCCTGGACTGGCAAAGCGCCGTCAGTGAGTGCTCTATGGGGGACCTGGTTCTCCTGACTTAGGTCTTCCAGGCCTAGAACCGGCCCCCACTTATCTCCCTACCTCACGTGCACAACCAGCCCCTCACCAGAGCTGTGCTTATGCCCAATGGGTCCCTTCGTAAACCACAGTTCCGGCTCAGATACCTTCATAATCGTGGGCATGGGGCACACATTGTACTTGGGAGACTGGGGCAGTGAGACCATGAGTTCAAGACATGTTGGCTTGGGCTACAGAGTGAGACCCTGTCTCAAACAAACAAAAACCAAACACACTTTCACGACTTCCTGATGCTTGTTCCTATCAATCCCAGCTCCTTAGCCTGGTACCCAACCCCCTTTCCTCTGACTCCTATTCTCCATACCCACAGCCTCCTGAACATCTGCTCCAGCCTCATTCACCCACTAGGCAACCTTCAAGAGACCCCACCCCCCTGAGTGCCTCCTGAGCTGGAGCAGCCCCGCTCATCTTGCCCTGCCGCCTCTGCCAAGAAGGCTTTTGCTGTCCCTTCCTACCCCTGATTATGCATTTCACTCCCTGCCTTCTGGGTAAGGCATGCTCTGTTTACCCAGATGGTTCCTAAACTCCTTACAGGCAGGGCCTGTGCCACAACACCTTCACTTTTCTACCTTTAGATCCCAGCCAATGTTTGTGAAATGAAGGACTGAATAAGCCAGGGCCACGAGGTAATACCTGGAGTCCAAGATGTACCATCTAGTTTCAGTGACTGTTCCACACAGTCCTGCTGTGGGACGCTCTAAAGGGTAAGGGGTCGATTCCTTAGAGAGGTTCAAAGAAGCTAAATCTGGATTCCCCGGAGGCCAAAGGCATGACAAAAACAAAGGAAGCTGGCCAGCTCTTTGCCAAGGACCTCTCTTTTCTGGGCAAGACCATTCACCACTGCCACACAGGGACAGCAGTCAACAGACACTGCAGTGTCCATCCAGGTATGAGCACCAGGCTTGCACCTAGAAACAGCAAGTCCCATCTCCACCTGTCAAACAGTGGTGCTGGCTGAGGTGACATGTCGCACTCTGGTCTTCAGGGACATGATAGTTCTTGTCCCAGGATCTGAACATAGTCAGACAGAGGGCAAGCTAGGGCCATCTGGCACTCATAGCACAATCACTGGGTGTGTGCAAGGGACACTGGGTTAATGACCACCATGGAAGAGGAGCGATGAGACTTGTTTCTCTCAGACCTCCCTCTTGTCACTCTACTCCTGTGACACTTCAGCAGAAGGAGTGTTCAAATTAATTGTGTATTTCAAAATTTCGAGAAGCGAGGACTCTGAATGTCCAGCACAAAGAAATGATAACCATTTGAAGTGAAGACATGTGTTGCCCTGATCACACCATCACATGCTGTATGCATAATTATATGTCAATCAAACACATTCAGATACATTTTAAAAGGCAATGCTTGCTGGGTATGATAACACACACCGCTAATCCCAGCTCTTGAAAACCTGAGGCAGGCTGATCTCTGTGAGTTCAAAGCCAGCTCCATCTACATAGTGAGTTCCAAGCCAGAGGGGCAACACCGTTTCAAAAAAAAGTTGATGTTTAATCTCCACAGGATGTATGGAAGGTCAAGGGGCCATGTTGCTGACTCCTTTCCATGCTTTAACCTCCAAGGTGTGTCAGGAGTTGGGTACCTGCAGGTCAGCAAGTAAAGGGGAAGTTTGGGGGACATCTGTCCCCGGAAAGAACACTTCACAGAGCAGTGGATATGAGAGGAACTCAATAGGGGACATGACTCTCAAAGGTTTCAGAGGCTTAAGAGGAGTCCAGGCAATCAGCAGGAAACCGTGGCATTCCAAGGGCTTGCAGGGCTAGTCTATGACCCACTGAGCTCAGCACCTCAGGTCCTCAGAGGCTCCGCCCTCCCATGGTTCCAAAGACAGACAACAGTTCATGCATAGTTAAACCTGGGTTGGGAAACTGAAGCCTCATACCCACAGCCTGACAGGGGAGCAGGGTTTCCTCTTGCAACCCTAGTCTCTGCTAAGAAAAATGGAGTTGTCCCTGGTCCTCCTCCCTGACACTGTAAGAAAACTCAAAGAGAAGTAAGGTCTGGTGTACAAAACGGATGATGCACGTTGCTGAGATGCAGCCAATGGCCTCCCTCTGCCAGGACTGTGGCTCAGGGCAGAAGGTGCCCAGGAGAAACTCCTCCTGCATCCTGCATCCCTGAACCTCCTCTAAGAGTTGCCTGGAGCCAAAAGTGGGGGGCAGGGCAGAGTCATGGGCAGCCTTGAGCCTCTTAGATGTCTGTACCTGGGATTGATCTCATCCTTCACCAGCGTGAAATAACGGTGCATCTTATGCCACAGGGTGGGCTTCGGCAGGTTGCCATTGGTGTGAATGGTGTGGATCTTTGCCATTTCTAAGGCAATTAACCTACAACAAAGACGGAAGGAATAGAGTGTCAGTACTGGGCTTGCCCTCCTGCCCAGCCCCTCCTGACCACAAAGAGTTTGGAAGGTTCTTCTGGGTATTTGCCAGAGGACCAAGTGTAGGATCTTGACAGGTCCCAGGAACCTTTGGTCTCCCAAACAAGGTCTCAGCAGAAGGCAGGAAAATGCAGTAAGACCTTCAGCCATTACTCCTTTTCTAGTCTCGGAGCTGGGCCAGTGAAAAGCAGAGGACCATCCACCCCCCTTCCCCCCAGGAGCTTGGCCTTCCCCAGCCTTCCCATCACCGCCCCTGAAAACACAGGGGCAAACAGACAGAGGGGCAATACTCCATGCCCAGACTTTGCCCCATCCTCTCTGGAGAGGTAGCAGCAGGTCCCTTTCCATGAAGTGGTGTTGATGCCAGGCCAGGAGGAGATGTTAGCTTTTTATCAGTCTGGCCAAGCTGGGGAGGCTGGCCCAGGGCAGCCCTGTCTGACACCACAAGGCATTGATGCTGGTGAGCAGATACCAAGGACGCAAAACAAGGCAGCCTTCTATCTTAAGTTCTCCTACAGACATTATTCAAGGTCCTGGGGGAGATTGGGGTGGGTAGCAGGGAGGTCCGCTGGGAGTGGGGAGGGGGAGTGGAGGACTTGACTACTGGAGCGGGAAGGACCCTGATAAGAGCCTAGCACCAAGGCCAGTGCCAAGGTCAGCACAGAGGCTGGGGTCCCAGCTGGGCTCTGCAAGCCCTCCCTGCTGCAGTCCAACCCTAACCGCCTGCCAAGCCTCCGCCATCCAAGCTTCTGAGTTTCCCTTGCCTCTGTCTGTCGCTGGAATAATAATCACTAGGAAGGACAACAAAGGCCCTGGTTGTTTGAAACCTTGTAACGGAGCTGTCCTAAGGCTACTCCTCCCCTTGCCAGGCCTGGGAAGGGACCAGCCATACACCATCAGGATAATGGCGATTTCAGGCTCCTCCCCAAGCCTCCCACTTCCTCAAGGGTGGAGGGACATCAGCAGCTGGGTAGGTGCACGGAGGTCAGAGGTCCTGGGTTAGGTGAGAGCCCACCAAGGGTCTGGGAAAGGGGAAGACACAGACCTGAGGCCTAGCATGTGTCTTCTGAACAGAGCGGTTCCTTGAATGTCAAAAAGGCTGTTGTGTGAATAGCAATTGAAGTAACTTCAACACTCAGCATTTTCATGCCATAGAGCCTCAGCAGACCAGGCCGGGGATGGGCTCAAGGGATATGAGGTGGGGGGTGGGGGTGGGGCATGTTCCTGCAGATACCCTGTCAGCGTGACAGGACGGGAAAAGCTCCATCCTGGGAAAGTCACCAAGGAAAGGGCTAACCTCCTATGCACACCCCAATTTCTGGCTCTCCCCCAACACCAACGTCTTATTATGGCACCTAAATCCCCCTTCAATCTTCCTGACAGCGGTAATTGTTTCCAGAAAGAGGATGAGTGAGGTTCACAGGGGCGGAGAGAGACCAGGAGTGGTGGGGACCTGCCATTGTGTGAGCTTATTTGCACAGGACTAAGGGAGAGACTCTGAGAAAAGCAGGGCAGGGTCCCCTGTACTCTGTTCGACCTCACCTCTCCGGGTTGGGTGCACTCAGCTTGAATGCCAGTGACCTCCACATAGGTGGACACTCCCTTCACACACACCCACACCCGCCAACACCAGCTGTAACACACAACTCAAACACAATGTCCTGGGGCCCCAGCAGTCTTAGAGGCAGCGCTGAAGAGTGTGGAGGGCCAGCCCTGTATGCACACAGCCAAGTGCACTTACTTGGGTTGACTGGTGGGCAGCTGAGGAGGCACTGAGGAGCTAGGCCTACCCCTAGGTGGGCGTCACCGCCCTCAGAACGCAAGAAAAGTCTCCTTCCTCTTGGACTGGGCATCGCAGATGCCAAGCAAAGCTCCTGGGCAGACCCTGCACTGCTGCGTCCAGCATCGGGAACAACCTCAGCTTCCCCTTGCCTCACTGTGATAGTCTGGTGGCCTCCATCCACATAGCTCATGACACCATGGGGAGGAAGAGGGTAATGCCTGACCACCCTTCCTCACCCCACCAGAGCAGAGAGGGTGGTGTGCTGCAGCTGTTTGGCTCTCCCCCTTTCTGGCCCCACAGGAGTCTATGCAGAGGGTTGAAGGTTAAATGTAGTTCCTAGGCCTTACATATCCAGATACTCACTGGGAACAGTTCTTGTGCATGGAGGCTTCAGTCATACTCTAAACGTGGGTCTCCACTGTCAGGGAAACCAAAGGGCCCTCAGTTTAGGGGTGTGGGGGAGGATGTCTCCAGTTAGCTAAAGTCAAGTCCTCCCTGGATAGGGGTGTTTGTCTTCACACTTTTCACTATGCAGAAGATGGGAGGGAAGTTGCACAAGGTGACACACACCTTTAATCCCAACACTTGGGAGGCACAGGCAGGTGGGTCTCTTAAGTCTGAAGTCAGCCTGGATTACACATCAAATTCCAGGACAGCCAGTACTACCTCAAGAGACTCTGTCTCCAAAAAAAAAAAAAAAAAAAAAAAAAGATAAAAAAATAAGATAAAGAAAAAAGAGAAGGAAGGAAGAAAGAAAGAAAGATGGGGGGTAGACATTTTGTGTGGCCTCAGATTTTGGCTCAGATTTCACTTCCAGAGCTTCTGGATGTTTCCACATCTGTCACAGGGTGGGCAGAGGTTTGAGAAACAGGGAAAAAACAAAAACCTGACCTTTGATACATTTATGGGACCACTTTGTTCCCCTGGAACTCATCCTTCTAGTGGACACCACTGTGAGTTTCTAGAATGTTACTGCCTCTGAGTAGAGCACATTAACAAATAGTTTCAAAGCAATATGAAAATATGACTTATGACCCCTCTTCACAAATCCCACTGCACACTGAAGAAGCCAGCCAAGAGCCTCAAAACAAGCCGGGCAGCGGTGGCACACGCCTTTAATCCCAGCACTCAGGAGGCAGAGGCAGGCGAGGCCAGCCTGGTCTACAGAGTGAGTTGCAGTACAGGCTCCAAAGCTACACAGAAAAACCTTGTCTCAAAAAACAAACAAGCAAAAACCAAAACAACAACAATGAAAAGAACCTCAAAACCATAGCCTTGGGGAAAACGATGCCTTGCGCCCTACTCACCTGAAGAGCTGGGGTTCTCTGATGTGCTCCGGTCCCAGGGCCACACCCTGCATGTATTCATAGCACAGCCCGTTCTGAAAGGTGCAGTAGAGTCTGGGGGCGCAGCCATGTGCTCGCAGCAGCTGGAAGTTCCTGACCTCATTCTCCCGGTCCACCAGCAACTCTGTCCGCTCCCCATACACCCGGACCAGCACACAGTCCCGCATGTCCTCCTCCACATAGCAGGCCACCAGCTTGTTGGTGATGCCATCTTTGAAGCGCTAACATGGGGAGAGGGCAGCTATGGGTAGGAGGGTGGGGTGTAATCCTCTCATCTCTTCCCAGAGCTCCAACCAAAGCAGAGTGTGCTCGTTTGAATACTGAGCACAATCCCACACCAGCCAGCACCATGTTCTGCCTTGAAGCAAACTAAAACACAATCGGGGAGGCAGGTGGCAACCACCCTGAGCCCAGGCACCCTCACTCAGCCCAGGTCTGCCTCCAGGGCATGGGATTTGGCAGAGTGGGCATGTCCACAGGAGGCCGTGGGGAGAGGTTCTGTCTCTCCTCCCTTCTCCATCCTGACCGGGAAAGAACCCACCACAGGTGAGAATGTGACCAGTGTCTGGAAACTGCCCAGACAGACATCCTGACCAGCTCCTTCTCACCAAGGCAGGGAAGGGCTCTCAGCTGTATCTCTCTTGCTCCATCCAGTGGCAGAGAGACAAGGAGGGTACTCAAGGAGGGTACTGAAGTTGGCACTTATCCCAGAGCTCTGGTGGCCAGAGGTCCTTGAGTCTCTGAATTCCACACCAGAAGAAACAGGAGACACAGGAGTGGGAACACAGACTCTCTGGGCACGGTGAAAGGGAGGAACCATGAGCTAAGTTTTATGGGCACCATGTGACAGCTGGATGGGACTTCAGAGGCCACCAGAACCCATTCTAGGTGAGGAAACAGGGCTGTGAGAGTAAGAGCTGGATTTGATCTCAGGATTGCCTTGCTCCTGACTGGGTCGTCTGAAAAACCGCTACCACACTCAGCCCAGATTCTCCTCTGAGCCCTACCTTCCCCACTCAGGTCTGTGACATGGAATCTACCCCTCTGTACCTTCCTGCACAGGCTGCCAGGCTGTGGGCGGCTGGATAGGTGTAAACATTAAAGAGAATGCAGGACAGCTGGGGAGTAAGCGAGGGGCCAAAGTGGGCAGCTGTGCCCACAAGTGCATGTGGCAGAATATATCAGCTGATGGGGGGAGTTGCTCAGAACTAGCCTGAGGCCATGGTGAAGGTGTTGGAATTCCGAATTCCACAGGGCTGGTTCCTGGGGCCCACAGGGAATGCTCAGACCCCTGAGGGCTTGGCTCTCGCGTTAGGGTGAAGGAGCAGCACAGGGTGTGGGGGGAGGTTTCCTTAAAAGTTCGTGCCTCCTCGGGTTTCAGAGCGGTTGAGTACGCACTTCTGGGCAACTAGGGCACACGCTCTCAGCGACAGGGGGTGGGGCCGTACACGGAGCATGCTGACAGTGGGCAGGTGGACCTCAGGTTGCATGCTTGAGAACCCTTGGAACAGACGAGTGGTTCAGGGAAGTGTGGGTTCAGCTTTGCATAGGGATAAAAAGAGGAGAGCTAAACACATATACAAAACACGGTCCAAAATCTTTCCTGCGCAACAGCCAGATAACCCTGGGACCCGCACTCGGAAAGATGCACTGACGGGCGTCCACGCAGCCCCTTTGCAGCCCAGGCAGGGCCCCATCCCCGGCCTCGCGCCCGCTCGGCTACCTTGGTCCGAACTTGCTCGGGCTTCCAGTGCGGCCGCAGCTCCCGGATGAGGCGTAGGGCACCCGGGAGGATGTCGTCCTGATCCACCGCGACGCCAAAGCACGGGACGGCGGCCCTCGGGGCCCCTGCGGGCTCCCAGCAGCCGGCGCTGGCCGCCGCTTTCTCCTCCATGCCCCATGAGCACTGCGGGCAAGGCGCCTGCCTCCTCAGGTAAAAGGGCGAGCACGGCACTGAAGCTGAAGGGGACACAGCCATTCCCAGCAGCCCCACCCCCTCGGAGCCGCCGCGCCCGCGTTAGCCCCTACGGGTGGGACCTGAGAGGCAGTGGGAGTGGTCGAGGAGGGGCCAGGGGAAGTCCATGACTCATGAGCGAGCTGCCCGCTCCGATCGCCAGCGCGTAGCCCCGCAACCCAGCTGGCCGGGGATCGCCGGGGTCCGCCGTGACAGTGACATCACGGGCCGCAGTAACGCCCCCTGCCCGCCCCATCCCGGCCTCCGGGCGACTGTAGCCCGCCATCTGCAGCTGGGGCCGTGGCTACCTGGAGCTCGGGGTGGGGGTGATGCCCCGCCTCAATGACGCAAAGGGCGGAGCCTCTTCAGGCCCCTCCCCAGATCCCTGCTTGGGCATCCTAGTGTGGGATGATCGGGTTCCCATTGAGGCCCACAGCTGTTTGTGAGCTCTTTCCTGGTAGCCTAGGGTAGGGCGTGGGACTGGGGTGGAGAGGACTGGTCTTTGTCCCCACTTCATCCTGGAATATGGAGATCGGCTGCTCCCAAAGTGTGGGCTTTGACTTACCTTCAAATCCCTGGACCCCTGGAAAAGGTTGGGTTGCATCTCTAAGGCTTCCATGCTTCCAGGCATCACTCACCACGACACACACATTCTATGGAAAGCCACATGGTGATGGTGGCGGGGTGGATGTCCCGTAGGCAGACTGGACTCTAACTGAACATTCCCGGGTATTTTATGAGTACTCAAGCACATTGTGACTCACTAAATCCTTAACTCTTCCTCCCAGTCCTGAGAGGTTGACTGGGCACAGATAGTAGGTGCACAGGTGCCTGTAGCCCAGTGCTTTGTTGGGCAAAGAGGTGATCAAAGGCCTGGCACAAGCTATGGACCTAGGTGCGTGTGGAGTGACTGATGACACAGATCCTAGAGGAAGGGATGATAAGTCCCCTGGGGGACTTGCTGTGGAGAGGAGACCATATGCTCCCCTGGTCACCCCCAGAGCAAATGGTATCAGGGGCCAGCCCTCTGCTATCGGGAAACCTGGGCTTGCCCCGGGGACTTCATGCCTGCCATCTCACACTCTGACACCAGAAACGTGCCCACAAAACAATGTTCTTCTGTGTTTCCAAGTTGTCCTTTGACCTCTTCAGGAGCCTCTCAACCACAAGGCCCTTTGATTCTTGCTGCCCAGAACCCAGGTCTTCTGGGACAATTTCTATACCGATGCTTACAGTGGCCACTAGCCCCAAGTGGCTACTCAGCACTTGAAATGTGACCAGCGAGGCATTTTGTGTAACTTTAATCCTTATAAGTATGTAAATAGCCATTTGCTGCCACTGTGTTGGGCATTGTAGCAGATAATAGGGGAGGAACTGCCTACTTAAGGTCATGAAGTCCCAGGATGCCAGAGCTGGAGAGGACATTGCCTCCAGCTCTTTCTTTTGCAATAGGCAAAGAAACCCATGCTGGACAAAGGGATCATAATCAGTGGGAGTCCAGGCTCTTGATCTCAGCTCTGTGCCAGGACAACGCAAACAGCTCCTGCTATGCAAATACTACCTCAGAGAAGCCCTGGGACCCTTAACCCCAGGACAGGGAAGTCCAGATACCAAGGGCTTCATTTGAGTACTCACTACCTTAAACTTTATGGTAAAAAGAGGGGTGAGAAGCTACAGGTAGATGCTACTTTCTCATTCCAGCAGGGGGAGGAGGGGTGAGTGGGAGAAGTGCCCTCAGCTTGTGGTGTCAATTTCAGGCCTTGAGGTGGAAGACAGCAGCCTGTATGTGTACCTGACCCAAACCGAGGTGTCTGAAATTCTGTTCCTGTGCCAGCACCAGTCACATGGGATTGAGGTGGAAGATTCCCAGGACCTGAGTCAGCTGGATTGGGTTCTAGGATCGTTTTTTTTTTTTTCAGGATTCTTCCCTGCTTGATTCTTCACCAAGTTATCTTCCAATGCCTTTCTGTCTCTATGTGTTTCTCACGTGTGAGGTGGGATTGTTGGATGTCTGAAGTCTGTGTTAGGTGGTGATGAGTTAGATTGCCTGTGTCAATGGTTACTTGGAGCAGGGGCATATAGAGCATGCAGAGAAACTGAGAGGAGCTTCCCAGGGAACTCCATATAAGGTCGAATCGCTCAGCAGGGCAGAGCCTGGGATCAGTGTCAGCTTCTATGAGCTGGAAGCATCTCTCTGACTTAGGGTTACTATTGCGGTGATCAAAGCTACTGGGGAGGAAAGGGCTTATTTGCTTACACTTCCACATCACAGCTCACCAAAGGAAGTCAGGACAGGAACTCAAGCAGGCAGGAACCTGGAGGCAGGAGCTTATGTGGAGGCCATGAAAGAGTGCTGCTTATTGGCTTGCTCCCTCTGACCTGATTTGTTATAGAACCTGGTCCCGCCCACAATGGGCTGGACCCTCCCACATCAATCACTAATTAAGAAAATTTCCTACAGTCTTGCATGTAGCCCCATCTTATGGAGGCATTTTCTTAATTGAGGTTTTCCTCATCTCAGATGATTTTAGCTTGTGTCAAGTCGACATAAAAGTAGCCAGTATATTTACCCACACTCTATTGCCATAGCCCTACGGCTTTTCCCTCCCGGTGGACCTAGAGGATCACGGGGTCTATTTCTTTGCAAACTCCTCAACCAAGGTTGTTTCAGGAACAAACTCTATGTGAATCTTGTTGACAGTAGATGGAAGGCATTGGTTTTACACACTAAAACATGTGGGGGCTATTTTATCACATTCTCCCTCTCTCCCTTTCTGTCTCTGTGTCTGTCTTTCTCGGTGTCTCTGTTTGTGTGTGTGTGTGTGTGTGGGGTAGCCAAAGGACAACTTCAGTTATCATTCCTTAGGTACTAAGCCCCGGTGATCTGCTTGTCTCCATCCTCCTGGCTGCCTTCATGCCTGGCTTTTTTTTTTTTTTTAATGTGGGTTCTGGGGATGGAACTCAGGCTCTCACACTTGAAAAGCAAGCACTTTACTGACAAGGCTACATCTCCAGCCCTATTTGTCATGCGTCTTCTCTCTGTGTGACCATGCAACTGTCCCTTCTTCTGCTCCAAACTCAAAAGAATCCACCAGAAACAGGTTCTAGCATGAAGTCTTTATTCTGTGTTTCCTCAAAACCAGGAATGGTGAGTGTGGGCAAGGGGGCAAGCACTCCTTGGGAGCTGTGTCCAATGTCCCTGTGTGGGGGCCAAGCCCAGACAAAATGGCTCTCGGAGCGCCAGCTTTGCCTTGGCCTGAAACCAGGGTCACTGGGTGACAGAGGGCCTTATCGGGCCAAAGCAAACCCAATGCGATTGTTATGCCGATCAAACTCAGTGTAGAACTTGCGGATGAAGCTGGCGCCCAGGACCCAGACTGGCCCAGTGGGTGGCGGGATGTCTAGGCCTTGGAGAGCCAACGTGCATAGGTCATCATTCCTGTAGGGATCCTGGCAAGAAGAGGGAGACTTACTCTATTGCCCATGACACAACCCCTTCCCACCACCTGACCCTGGCAACTGTCCTCAGTGTATATCCCAGCTCTCCCACACCCTTCCAGAGCCGGCTCAGCCCAGCCTAAATTGCAGCCTTCCTGGGGCAGGCAGGCAGGCAGGCAGGCAGACAGGCAGGCAGGCAGGCAGGCAGGCAGGCAGGCAGGCAGGCAGGCAGGCAAACAGTGTGTCTACCCTGTGTTCCCAGGCTTACTTAGTTTCTGACCAAGACCAAATCACTGAGCTTCTCTAGGACCCTGAGAGTGCAAAGGGCAGAGGACTAAAAGGAGGGACACCCAGAAATGGAGAGAGGACTGTCACTGAGTCACAGCATGCATGAGTTTGTTGGGTTTTTTGTTTGTTTGATTTGGTTTGATTGTTTATTTTTATTTACTTATTTTTCTGGACAGCCCTGTAACAGCTCTTGCTGTCCTAGAACTCACTCTGTAGACCAGGCTGGCCTCAAATTCATAGACATCCACCTGCCTCTGCCTCCCGAGTGCTAGGATTAAAGATGTGCACCCCCCCTGCCCATCTAAATCTGGGGAGTTTTGAAAACTTTGATTCCCAGGTGCCTGTCTCAGAAGGTTTGATGGGCAAGGCGAGGCATGCAGCCCGGGTACTGGGATTGTTAAAATTTCTCTAGATGACACAAGCAGCATTCATGGATCACTGGCCTAGTTGGTGATTGGTACAGCACAGCTTCTCCCCTTTGGGTGGCCCCGCCCACCCTCCTCACTGAGCCTCACCTGTAGCACGTAGTCCTCCCTGGTGAGTGTATAGGCTCTGCCTCCCAGGTGGAAAGAGATGTCAGGGAGGCTGGACACCTGGCTGCAGTCCACAACATACTGGGGAAATGAAGGAAGCTCTTTTCAGTGTGGACATCTCTGAGAAGTCCAGAGCCCTGTGCCAGAGAGCCCTGGACAGTCTCTGCTCACCCTCCACGGGAGACATGCCACACATTCAGGGAGGGTGAGCAATGAGGAGATGGCTTGAAATGACTTTGTTTTGGCATCCAGTGGTGTCTGGATGGGTTGGAGGCTGGAACCAGGTGGTTAACCCCCACCCCGCCCCCCAGGCTGTTCTCTCCACCTATTTCTTACATCATCTGTGCTCCTCTCCTTGGCTCCCAGGGTTTGCATGAGCAACTTCAGGGAGCTCGTAGGACCCGAGATAAAGGACGCACCAGTGTCCACAACTACCACGCAGCCCTCCTCACACAGCAAGGTGGCAGACCCCACAGATACCCTGCGGAGGCTACAGTTAGACGGGTAGACAGACAGACAAGAAGGCAGACAGGCAGAAGCCGCCAGGCACCCCCCAGCCTGCGGGTCTTTCCCAACTTAGGGTGGTGATAGGAAGCCATAGGAGGGGTCTGGTGGTGCACTGGAGGAGAGCCGAGCCCTGAGAGAAGGTGCTGGCTGTCCTTGTTATCAGCGCATGATCTAGAGACCTCCTCCCCCTGAGCCCTCTCCTTCCCATCCTCAGTTCCCATCCCATGCCCCCATCCTGGACAGAGCTGGCAGGGAGCTGCGCCTTAAGGAGTGGCTACCCCCCTCTCAACCCACCCCAGCCCGATCCCAGTGGCAACATCAGTTGGAGGGTTGGGAAGGTTGAGGATTCCTCACCCCTTCATCGCAATTTCCCAGGAGCCAGTCCTGCTGATGCTCACATAGTGAAAATTGCCTTGGTAATGCTGGGGGTCGCTGCCCCCAAGCACCACCTCTCCCCCCAGCAGGTGGGAGTCCCTAAAGGAAAGATCAGCAGAAGTTAGAGACACACAGCCTTTGAACCCTGAGACTTCAGGGTAGAGGGC